TATTATATATATATAGTACACTACACACACACACTATATATATATATATATATATATATATATATATATATATATATATATATATATATATATATATATCGCTTTATGCATACCACAAGAACATTTATTCAAACAAAACACACATTTTCATATTCGACGGTGCCATCATGAAATTAATTATGCATATGCGCGTGAAGGAATAATGCACGTATATGTTGTACGCGACAATGGCATATTTGTCTTGTAGAGCCGAGTATAAGATCCATCAAGATAAAACCAAATAATCACTATGACTGTAACTGGGAGGCGGATATCCACATTATACTACATACCATCAGGAAACGGCACCACGTCCAGAACATTCGGTCCCATTATCATACCCACAACTATTTCTCCCACAAGTGGAGTACCTCCAGTTAAGCCAAACAACTTCCCACCGACCCACACGGCCAGGAAGAATAAAGTAGTGAACATCAAGTCCTCGAAGGTCCATCCTGCAGCCATTTTGAAATAGTATGTGACTTCGACGAACAATTTAATTTTTCTGGTCACTGTTTATATTGTAAGTGGTCTTTATACGAGGTTACGAATGTGAGTTTGACACTATAGCTCCGCAGTCATGTATAAGAATGTGAGAACGATAGGTATGTATGTTAGCTACTAGAGAGCTGTTAGAACTGTCGGCACAGTGTATATAACCTCTCGGTATAGTCGGTAACACATGTGGTAAAGATAATCTAAGATGAGATGATGAGAATTCCGGCGGCTTCGATAAAGCTGCTGCACATTCTATATCATTACTATTCATTCATTCCTGACCCTTTTTTGGAAATGTAAAAGGAGATTATAGATTCTTGGGTTTTCTCTAGGAGTGTATTATTTTAAAAAATGATTAAAAAAAAAGTTCATTGTGTCATTGTCTGCTTCCGACTACATATTTATTTTACGTCAATCGCTCTTGTGTTAGTAGCGCATTCTTTTTGACCAATGAAAATTCTTGTATATTATCTAGAGTAGCGCGAGCAGCGAGGCCGTGAATCATCACTCATCAGGTCCTTTTCGGTTTCCAACTTTCCTTTTAGCGGTTTCAGGCTGACAGCGTCAGCCGTCAGGCTGTCCTTGTTTTTAAAAAATAATATTAATACCTAAAATAGCCTGTCACTCTGTCACTCTGTCAGGCGTCACTCGTCAGGCGTCAGCCGTCAGCTTCCACACAAACTTAGTCTCTACTCTATAGTACTATTAGTATCTATTTACTCTCTATTCTCTAGAGAAAGAGTAGTCTAAGAGTTGTCCCAAAGAGTGTCCCTACTCCCAACCAGCTATTTAGTCCCTGTCCCCTGACTAACCTCATAAAGTTAAGTTATTTTGTAATATTGATATATAAGTTGAACGTTTTTCTTTTACTTTTTCGTCTGAAAACAACGTTTTACTGTTTCAATTTGGACCTCAATTATTTCGATTTGCTGCCCACGATAGTGCACCTATTCTCACACTTTTGGCCACGAAATGTAAAACTAACCAATGAAAAACAACTAGAAAGTGATATGTAGCCTTTGCATATTTTTTCTCTGACAAACTTGTGAATTTGTCACACTAGTCTTTTCCACTAATAGTCACTAATAACACACATAAAAGTCAAACTAATCGTGCTGGTAGACTGTGTAGCCTGTTGCCTGTAGGCTGTAAATCCTAGATATCTCTATCAATTATATATACCTTAACTTCTAGAATATGAACAACGTCAATATCAAGGGACAGTGTAGCGGGCTAATATACTTGACAACGCTCAACTAACGATCAAGTCTCCAGAACCGATGGTAGGGCGGGCAATAGTTAGGTAAGGTGGTTAGGACAAAACTCTGACCTGGACAATGCTCTTATGGGTAGCTTTAGGACTACGAATGTAAAGGAAATACTTTATCTCTTTACTTTTACTTTTTCATTTGAAAACGTTGCAATGTAATACGTGATGAGGTTAGTCTCCTGACTCTCTGCAGGAGTGCAGGGCCAGGCCGCCAGGGTGCCAGGCTGCAGCACTATAGTACATACTCTGCTACTGTCCAGTGGCCACTGGCCACAGGCCCACAGCCCACAGGGTACAGGCCTACAGGGTCGGGACTCGGGAGTCCAAGGTTTACTTTCCACCTAATTATCAGTATGTTTTGTTTTTTCACCAAAAAACAAAACAAAGAGTTGGTGTATTCGGTTTCAGGACCATATATCGATGTTTATTAGGAATGCCTTCTATTTCTCCAATTTTATAGGCTAATAAGGAAAATCTACACCTGTTGGTGGCTCAGCCGGCACTCCCGACAGCCGCCCACCGAAGCCAGGGGTTCAACAGTCCCGCAACGCCGTACTTATTCCTATCGGCAAACGGGGTTGTAAGGACCAAACAAAAACAAAAACAAAAACAAACAAGCTACTGCTACATATGTAAATATACGGTAAATACGACTTGAGGAGGGTACAGAACGTAGTACAGTGAAGCTACAACCGACTGTCTTACAGCTTCACTGTCTTCACACGAGAGTTGTATTTATTTATATTTCTTTCCTCTAAAATAAAGCGTTCATCTATGTTTCAACAGTCAACAGTCTCGCGTCACACGAAAGTAGTTATCGATTTATAATTGGTAGTGGTCTTCAGCCCGCCAATTTCCAAAAAAACCCCCCCCAATTTGGTTTATCAAGACTGCGCACAGGGTTTAAATTAAAAGCAGGTTTTAGTCCACGTGTTTTACTGTACTAATGTATACCATATATATTGGCATATATAGTCAGCCCGAGACGTCAGTGTTTTTCTTAAAAAAATGACATTTCTTACTATGCTCAGTAAATATTTAGTCACTCTTTCAGTCTTTCTACTGTACAAGGTCAGTAGACTCAGTGCATACTTACATATTTAGTCCACTCTAAACTCTAAGAGTCGTGAGTGAGTACACTGAATTCATTTATTTAAAAAAACAAAAAAACAACTGATTACATTTTGTATTTTCTGTATTTTTGTATTGTATATATTTTGTAAAATAAAAAGACAAAAAAACAAACAACTCAAATTATTTAAAATCACGTAGAACACTTTTTGGCGGGCAAAATAACCCAAAGAATACTCTTTTTTTTTGATTTTTTTTGTTGTACTCAGAGTAATCAACATTCCTTTAATACATTTGGCGAATGGAAACCCTTATATAATATTTATCAATCTGAGTCACGGCCAGTGGCTTCCAGGATTGCTGCGGCGTTTTATAAAAACAATTTCCTATTTGATCCTATATTGTAGTCGCGTACACTTGCACGTGTGCAAAATCAAGTGAGGTCAGGTGAGTCCTAAAGGGCCACGGGCCCACGCTTCACGTCCCACGGCCCACGGCCGACATGGACATGCCGTCGCTGACTCTTGGGCCGAGTATTTATTGTGGTTGTCATAGGACTGTTGTGATAGCGTCACTTATAAGTTATGAGTCGTCCGTCTCACGACCAGGCTCGTCAGTCTTTTAAAAGTCTTGACTCTTCGAGAGTCTGCCTCTGTCAGAGTGTCAGACATGAAGTCTCCAGGTTTTACCAGAGGGAAAGGGTGCAACTGCGTTTCCGGTATACCAGTGTTTTTTTAATTTAGAAGGCTACATATGCAGAGGGAAAGGGTGCAGCTACGTTTTCAAAAAAAAATTCTTCTCCACGGCGGCAATGCGGCATGGCCCCACGGCTACGGGGCGTGGACCACGACTCCACGAGTCTTGAAATCTCATCTCACTGACGTATTTAAACGTTGTATTGATGTTCGTGTGAAATCACTGTGTAAATTTTCATATAAATAGGTGGTTAGGTGGTCGGCCCTTCTAAAGCACTGTCGCAATTCTAACAGTACATACAAGTGATTGTCTTCCGTATTCATCCGAGATGCTTTCTCCGTCAATTTCCTCCTACTAGACCGTCATTCTCATGACAACCATTCTGTTACTATCATTTTTCTCACGTATTAAGCAGCAATTTTAACTGTAGGCTTCACCGATCTAATATCCAGTAACTAGTATTTTACAAATAGTCGGGTGTCCACCAGTGCAAATACATGTGTAAGCTTCCGGACAAAGTGATACTTCCTATGATGAGGTTTCCAAATTTATGGACTGCTGTGTATGTTTGAAGTGGGCATATATTATATTTCCGATAGAATCATCAAACAATACAGAGTTCGTGACCTCGTGAAGGCGTGGTTCGATAATTTTGTTTCGTGAAAGTTTAGCTTCGATCAAAAAGTCGAACAGTATCTGTTATTTCTGCAGAAAATATTTACGGAAACAATTGTTGACAAGGGGCCACATAAATCTTAACCTCGATAAATAATGACATAATGTGGTCCATTTAGAGCTCCTCAAGTGTGTTACCCAGCCTCTTACAACACCCAAAATGTTCGTATTGAACGCAGTCGGATGCGTTTGATGCCAAACACGTCAGGCTATCTCGTGACCATCATAGTTGGGAATTGACATGGTCGAGTCCTCATGTTCTACAATAAACTGTATTTGAGCTGAAGCACGCAAACATTAAATTTATTGTGAACATTTTCATCCAGTCGTTATGTCTCACGCGCACGCAATCGACAACGTAAAGGTGATCAGCATTGTTCAACTCATAATGTTCGAAGTTGTGCCCACGGTCAGCCGTGCTCCATCTTAGACAAACAATACTTCAAATCATTATCCTAACCCTTGTGGAGTCCCAGAAGAGTGTGCCTAGTACTGTGACTTAATTTGATTATTTACCCGGATGGCATCCACAAGATTATTACATTATATTTTGTTTATATTTGGCTCGTGTTTGGAGCTAAAACCTCCACTATTGGTCTCAAGTAAATATACTACAATTGAAGCTTATCAGAACTCGAAAATAGGTTTGAGCTTGAATTTCCAGAACTCGCCAGAGCCTATTTCTTTACAATCTCAACATACAGCACCTGGATCGACAATGATGCCTGAGTATTACAATAATTTGGCTGTAGTTTTGTAGAAGATGTTACATTCCTGCGTGATGATGGAACATCAACTATGGATTGACGAGTGATAACAAAGTGCCTCTATGTTAAAGGATTCCATCTGCGTCGACATGCCTCTGCGATGTCGTGTACTTGCGCCATTGCTCTCATTTATAACCTGAGATGAGGTTAAGGCAAAGAAATGATGATATATTAGCCAATGTTTGAGCATGAAAACATAATAGTCTAGACTGAAAAAAAAAATGTAGTTCAGTGTCTGGCGTAGCAAAAGTGCGGAAGGAGAGCAGATCAACTCTCCTGGTACAACTATGGTTTCAAGTTGGTGTTAAAGGCATACATATAACCTAGTGTTAAGGGCATACATATAACCTAGTGTTAAGGGCATACAAATAAACTGAAAATATTCGCATGGCAGTCCGGATAATTGGCCGCGCATACCAGGGAATCCATGTGTTGTCGATATTGGCCAGCTTGACCGGATCAGTTGCCTGCGATATCAAAGCCTGCACCTTGTGGGTAAGCGGTAAAGGGGTCGTTTGTGGTTGCGTTGCAGTATCTACTGAGCGTGTGGTCGGGGTTACCACCACATCCACCATGCGGCTGATCATGGAGTTGACGTTTGCCGACGCCTTCTCTATCAGCAGCTCGTTGGACAAGGGCAGTTTAACACCCGTGTTAGTTGGCCCTGCGTGCCAGTTCACAATCTGCACGGTGGTCGGTGTGGTATGTACATATCAGTGAGTGTATGACGTAAGAAAGGAGTTAATGACGTTGCACTATCTCACTCACACAAACTTATCTCAAATAAGCTACTAAAAAATACACCAGACAGCTAAGTTGACCACGTGATACTTCCCAACGGTGCATACCTCATCTCTGAACATCATATTGAGGAAGTTAGTCAGATGCTGTTCCGAGTCCGTCATAGCCCTCGCAGTAGCCAGGAAGCTAGCGGTAAATGGTCCCTTGATACCCGCATCAGTAATGAAGTGCTGGATAGTGGGCGTGAGCCGGAATGGCACAGAGGCTGGGACCTCTATCTTGCCCTCCGAGTTGAGCATAGGGTACAAGTCCGTGGATAAGAGGTTTCCGGTATCACTGCCGGGTTATGGGGTGAGCGAATAGCTGAGTGACTGTTTGTGTAGGTGTTGGGTTGTATGTGAGAGAAAAAGTATGGGATGACAGACCGTGTAGAACAGGTATTCGCTGTCACTGCGTGTGTCTGTGTGAGGGTATGCATAAGCGATACTTGAGTGGCTGATCATGCAGGTGGTGCGTTGTGTGTGTCTGACGAATTAATACAAGGTAGTGAAGGGCATGGCTGAGTGAAATGTATTGTGATCATTGGCATGGCCAGTACGAAGTGCGAGTGTTGCATGTGTTGACTAATTCCTGCGGCCACAGCACGAATAAAATCTCGCTGACGCTGAGCACTCCTTGAAATACATGCACATCACACGTTGTTCATATTGAGTAACATCACAAGTACCTACCGCGCTATAATCATGGTGTGGGGCAACCGGTTCGCCATGTGCATGGTGTACTTGAGGAAGGACATCACCGCCAACTGCGCAATGAAGCGCTTACGGAACATCCACACATCCACCGGGGACGCAAACGTCTTGGCTATGTACTTGCTTAGGATATCACTGTGGTAAAATGAGCAGCAGAGCAAGTACCGTTAGGATATATCAAGTATAACTTAATAGCGAGACTCCGTTGAAGGCCATGTGCTGGAGAAAGGCAGCCCAGTATACGACTGCAGTGGCAGACCATATCCAATGTATTGGTAGTCGGATAGTATGGCTATATGGACACGTCCCAAGTGGGATGCCTTTGCTCCTGTCGCAACATTCCGGACCACAAGTGCAAAAAACTCTAGTAGTGTACTTTGTACTTTCACACATAGCAGCATTCAAGCAAACACACTCAGCATGCTTGCACACACTCTATAGCGGTCCACTTACTTGGGCACGTAGTTGCGCTTGATGTAGTCGTACATGTCTATATTGAAGTCCTGCAGACTGGAGTGTAATTTCTTTTCCTCCGACTCGCACAGCTTCTCACACGTCAGCATTATGGGGTAGTCCACAGTCTTGCCCCTCTGTTGAGTGTGGATATGTAGTGTGGCAGGTGTAAGACAAGGTTTCGCAGCGGTGTGTTATCGCATCGATCGGTTGACGACGATTAATGCGCGGAGCAAACACGGTTACGCTTGTACATACTAATTTTAAATACGCTTGGAACATACAATATCTTTTTTGTACACAACGCGCGCAAATAAAGCACTATAGCCTCGAATGAGCCCCACACACGTTCTCGAACAATGCAAAATCGAAAGTACAGGGTACTGGATCAATATATTGACGATGAACTAGAAAGCAGGCGTATGCTGCCAATTAGACAGTTGTTATCTGAACAATACGGGCACACATTTGCAGCGCCAGAAGAAGACTATCACGAAGAGATAACCCCCTTATCATCATGTACCACGGGCGAGCAAACATTGCTATGCTCACTATGTGACGAGAACTTCATCTACACAGCCTGAATGGGCTATACTTGGGACGAACAGATCAGCACACATGGCATTGTGGAATGCACTGCACACCAGCTACACATACCGCTTCGCAGAAGTCCGCAAAAATGTCTTCCAGAGAGACCATGGAGGGGTTGTCTTCCAGGATGCGCGCCGTGTGCGACACCGACACTAGCCTAGGAGCATAGAACGACAGGTTGCTGTGCAAGCACGTGGCATTTACAGAGAGAGGTGCACCGGGGAATGAGTTACGCATAGCGAGAGCGTGTCATATGACAATCTGAGTAATCAAAACAGTATAAAGAGTCGGGTCCGAAATAGATTCCGTTGCACAAAGTATTTTTTTGGAATGGAGGCAAGAGGTACTATATAATGATCCTTCAATACAGTCACAAAATTAAACAGATACCGCTGTCATACATTCACATGACAAACAACTATCCGAACAAAACAGGCAGAAAAACAGTCAACATTTACACATACGCATATATATACATTTATATACACATACACACACATTATATATATATATATATATATATATATATATATATATATATATATAATATATATACANACTATA